ATTCACCCCCTCACCATCACATTTGTAAAAGGCGTATTTTAAATTCTAGGGACTTGTGCTTTGGCAATTACATGCATATACATGTTATAATCATAATCTGAAAGTTTCATGAAGATCGTATATCCACAAAAAAAGCTATTAAACAATTGAGTTCTCATAATAAGGGCACACTGGTGTATGTGTGTGTAAATGTTTATATGTATGTGTGTGTGTGTATGCGTGTTTCTTGTGTAAACTGAAAGACGCGAACAATTATTGAAATAGCTATTACTCCAAGGGTTCAGGGGATCTCGTAGTCGAGCAGTCTCGACTAGAGCTTTCTTACTTGTTAGTGTTGACAGAGAGAAAAACAAAATAAATAAATGAAAATTAAATAAAGCTAAAATAGAGCTAAATTAATTAATTTAAAGCCAGAATTCCCGCAGCCCGCCCTTTTCGAATTTTCCCCGCAATGGGACTTCAAATATAGCCAGATCTTACGGGAAAAAAGCTAAAATGACAGCCCTGATTTTCACGGACAAGTCGGTATAGGATGTTTTGAACTATAGAATCACTAAATCCAACCATCAGCAAGATCCCGCTGCTCAATAGTTGTGCGTGGTCCCAAATCACTTTCCAGCAAGTTGAGCACTTAAAATTCAGTGCAAATTTATTTCATCATATTGCGAAAACAGTGAATAAAGCATTAACCAAGAATATACCGTTGCAATGCAAACTAACGGATCTGTGATCCGCTGAAAAGTTTTTGGTTGAAATAAGCTGTGGAACTGTTTTGGTCTCACCGTTCTAGCTTTAAGATTGTAGAGGATATAGTTTTACCCGATTTGCCACGCCCCCAATTATTTTTTCGAGTTCCCGCCTATATGAAGCGTGCATACAATTTACATTTGCTTTGACAAAATTAATTGTGTCTTCTTCTTCGACAACTTTGTATTTTAATTATAATTTGTCCCATGATTTGTTGCACAATTTGTTATTTTGATAGTTTTCGCTTTTATTTTGCCACAAAGCCTGCTCATTTTGAAAATAATCAAAAAATTATCGGTTCATTTTGGCTTATGTTGCTGGCCGAAATATTTCTAGAAATGATGTTTGTGCGAGCACTCGAATCCATTGTCGAACATGCTCGCACGAACACCCGTAAGAAAGAAACATTTCTATTTTTAACAAAACAACAAAATGAACAAAATGTTAGTACGAACACTCCTATCCACATTCGAATATTTGACGAACACAACATGTTCGTGTAACAAATTCGTCTGTGGATAGCCCCCTTTATATGCGTGTGCCACTTATGTACATAAATAAACTTAGATAGACATTCATATGACGGAAAGAAACTTTTTTATAAAACTTAAACAAGTAAGAAAGCTCTAGTCGAGACTGCTCAACTACGAGATCCACTGAACCCTTCTAGAAAGAATTCAAAAATTCCTGGCGACTTTCTGCTTACACAAGAAACACACAGACACATAAACTTTTGTTTGTTCAGCATTCGTATATTTTCGTAGTCCGAACCTAAAAGAGGGGAGCCGAGCAAATACGAAGTTGTGTGGAACGCAATGCTCGAAAAAGTGTGCAAAAAGCTTTACACTACTTGTCAGGTGTATGTGATCTATGGTTAGGGATATAAATAAAATTTTTTTCTAATCGATAAAAATATATTTGGGGGTAGTTATCGATTTTTGGAAAAAACTCGATAGCTCTCTTATCTTCGGAGATCGACGCGTTCATAAATACGGATGGGCGGACAGATACACAGACAGGGCTTAGCCTCACGCCTCCTTCTCCCTGTTACATACCTTTAACAAAACCATTATATCATGATTTCCCCATTGAAAATGAATAGCTGTCGATAATTTCCCAATATTAATCGATCATTCCCTGCTTTTTGTTTAGGACTAGAGAGTTGAAAACTCGTGCTTGTTTTCAATGGTTTCAATAGAATAGAATATTTATTAGTTTTAATATATGATGGGTTAAAACTTACCTCCACAGCCTCCACATACTTTTATTAATGTGTTTGGATGTATTAACTGTTGGTTATTAAATTCATTCGAGGACTCATCCATAAACGATAATTGAGACGAAGAGATATTTGAATTACTTTCAGCAATATCCTTTGCGTTGCTGGTTCTATAGCCAACAACTACTGAAGGGAAATTTTCCGGACTAGAGGAATCTTGCTGATGCGCCGCCAGTATATCAGTATATGAATGGAACGATGCATTCATTGCAAAATTTTGCGATAGATATTATCTATAAAGGCATATAGGGGCTGTTTATTGCACGATGGACTCTGGAAAAATACAAACGTATATCTTGTATTTTATTATTAATAATACAATTAGTAAAATTAATATTTAGTTTACTGCAAAAACTATTTTTTTTTTTATCAGTTTACAAAGTGTATAAATGTAACACTCACTGGAGACCTAAGAATCAGAAAATACATTTCTAGGGCGTACTGGCAAAATAGATGTACAAGACAACCATTTATTCCTTATCAGTCTAGGAAATGCATATTTTCAAAGTACAGAGGAATCCGTTTACAAGGACGCTCAAAGGACCGACGATGTTACGTCCCTATAACTGGAGGACGATTAAACCACAAGGAGCAAGATATATATTTTTGTTTGTTTTTTTTTTTTTTTT